AACAATGGAAGGGAAAGGATGTTGACATGACTTTAGGACAAGTGATGTCACATTCAGCGGGTCTTAAAGTGACGGACTTGCTTAAGGACTTCCAGATGATATATGACTTCAAAAATGTGAGTCAATCGCTGGTTCAGTTCAAAGACGAGCCCTTACTTTCAGAGCCGGGAACTCAATATAATTACTCTAATTATGGCTATCAAGTGGTGGGCGCTATCATCGAGTCCGTCATCCATGAAGAGTATTTCAATGCAATCAACAAAATGTTTGAAGAGTTGAAAATGAATTCAACATTTTGCGAGACAAGTGATATGATTATTAAGCATAGAGTTCACGATTATCTGAAAAGTGATTACCCAATACTGCCCGACCCCACCAAAAATGCATCGGAGGTCCATCTCATGAATGCTCTGGTTATTGATGACTTGCTGGCAATGGAGGCTCAGTGGCCGGCAGGAGGTTTGGTGTCATCAGTAGAGGATTTGCTAACATTTGGAAACTTTATGTTAAAAGGATATAAAAATGTCAACAATGATACAGGTAACATTTGTTTTTGTTGTAGGAATTACTGTTACTATTAATGAATGACAACTTCTTGTTTACTCTGAAGAGTATTTGAAGTCATCGACTGTCAAACAAATATGGGATCCGGTTATTGAGAAATTTCGCAACAAATATGGTTTAAGCAAAGAAGGTTTCATTGCTTACAATTGATAAATAACTGAATGTCTAAACATATGTCATATCTGTTGAAATGTGCAGCACATGGATGGGCAGTAACTGAATTGGATCGGCCTATTGTGTGCCAAAACAAATGCCAAATGCCATCGACTATAAGTCGTTTCATCTGGAAAACGGGTGGTCTGACTGGTGTCACTAATATACTGATGATTCTTCCTGATCAAGATATAATTGTCGCCCTATTGACTAATACATCAGATATGCAGGATGATATAGTCGAGGCCGCACTTATGGTGGCCAAAGAATTTATGAATTGAAAGCAATTCACTTAATGGCATATCATATAGAATTATATTCAATATGATATCTGCTAAACATAAACAAAATGTTTTATTAAATTTAAAAGATTAAACTGAAAATATTTTTGTACCACAAGAATTTAATAAAACACGTTGAAAACCTTTTGACTATACCAAATAAAAACAACAAACGTTTTCATTTCATATTAAGATAAAACAGATGGAGAATTAAGTATAAATGAAAATACAAAGCTTAGGTTGGATTTTAAAATTCATAGTTTCTTAACATAAAATAATAGTAATCCAACACATATCCAAACTATGAATTATAAACATATTTTCAAACGAGTATATGTGTGGTCTATATATCAAAATATAATGCAAATCTATAAATATCTTCAATATTATTCCGATTCTATTCAATGGGTTTGTTTGCAATTCAGAATTTTTAGGTCAAATCTTATGTTTTGAATATATTTTTAAACAATTTTACTTTTTTTTATAGACAACAGAATGTGTGGTTTATTCACCATTACTTTGGCATCTATTCCAGGAAAACAACAATTTTAATATTTAATGCAAAACTCAATGTAAAATTCCGTTGAAATGTGTTTTACAATAAAAACACAATTATTTCTATTGCAAGGAATGACTGTTCATTATATGTAACAAATTGTGCTATAATTGCAATTAATAGTGAAGTATGTTTTGCACTCATATTTAACATTTCATTCGCAGAAAACAACTTCAAAAATGTGTTAAACATAAGAGACATAAAATTTCTGCTGATTTTGTGCATCGCTTTCGAAGAATCTGTTGACGTGTTTCGAGAAAATCGATAAAAAGCAGCAAAAATTACAATAAAGAAACAAATGATACGAAAGGTCTGGCAATGAAAACAATGGCCATTGCTTTTGCTTGAAGACGAGTGAATCAAATGATAGGATTATTATTGCGATTATTATAATGTGTGCCAAAACTCAAAATACAATCGATTTTTCATATAATAAGTTACAAAAATAGTGTTTAGTTTTATCATTAGTTTATATCCTGAGCATCCAATCAGGCGAGAGAGAGA